GTGGAAGGTTGTTCTGTCCCTTGTAAGATGTTTAACAGCATTCCTTGCCTCTACCCACTAGATGCCAGTCACATCCACCCGTTGTGACAGTCATAAATGTCTCCAGACATTGCCAAATATTCCCCGGAGGGAAAAGTCACCCCTGGTTGAGAATCACTGTGCTAAATAAATGTCCTCCTTCTGTCTCTGTCGATGTTTAGAATCAACTAGGGATTTATATGCCTATTTACATTTAATGTTTGCTTTCAGCTCTGTCCAATGCATTGTTATCTTGGAATTGACTGGTTTTCATAATCAAGCGTCCAGATTATTGTGATTTTATAAAATAGTATTTTAGACAGTGACAGGGTTGTTAGGGGAAACTGGGGAAAAGATGGGCAGAACTTTCACAGAGAAAAGTTCTACACGCACAGTTATTAATTCCCAGACTATGTGGGAAAAAATAAAATGTAAAGGGATTTAAGGTATAACATTTAATTTTTTTTCTTGTGGCAAAGTGATTAATTTCTAGAATTTAGGTGTAACAATTAGTAGTAGTAGTTCATGTGTCGAGATAAATTTTCTTTTTTTGACTAAAACATACTTATTCTTTCTCTTCCCCCAGTTTATATTCTTTATCATTTACTGCTTAATTTCAGTGACTGTTGTCCTGAAAGATAAATCATTGAAGGAGAAACTGAGATATACATTCTTTAAAAAATGCTATATTATATCTACTACACACGCAGATATATTAAATTGACTCTACTACTTGTAATTTAAGAAATCAGTTAAAGTTTTTTTGTTTTTGTTTTTTTGTTTCAATTTCTCCCCCAGAAAGCACTTTAACTTCACATTAATATGTGGCATTAATATATTTACAACAACTTCACATAATATGGTTAAAGTTATTTCTAATTAGATTCAGGCTTGATGCTATATTAAAGTGTGCTCTGTTTTTTTGTTTTTTGTTTTAAATATACATAGAAACCAGAAGATTTTGACATGAGCAGCATGTAAACAAACTATGTCATCATTTTTAAACAGATGTGGAAAAGCCTTTGGTATGAATGATAGAACCAAACTGCCAGGATAAAATTTGGACATATCTCTTATTAATTGTGTGGCTTCTGGTGTGTTATTTAGCCTTTTCTTTCCCAATTATTATTTCATTATAATGATGTTTATCAACTACATAATGAAACAAGTAATAATAACCTACCTCATAACATGATTATCGGATAATATATTAATATAAATAAAGTGCTCCACATAGTATAGGTGCTGAGTAAGTTTAACTACCATTTTTATTATTACTGTAACTATTGTGATGTGAAGGATTTCTATTCCTCTATCATATCTTCAATAAAATAAAGGCTGGGTTGTATAAATAGGGAAAATAGCAATAACAGAAGCCTGGTCATAATGGTATGCAATGAACCCAAATTCATTCTGAACTTCCAAAATGACACTTCATTCTTTCTCAGTGTATCAATGTAAGTTTTACAAAATCTGGGGAAATTTAGAGCAAAAAGAAACATAATGTCACACACTTGGACCTAGAATTATTTTATCTTTCCTCTTCCCTTTTCCTTCTAGAAAGAGCATGGGAGTTAGTATCTAACAGAGAAATAATTCTAACTCTGGCTTTGCCTCTTACTGACCACAAAAACTAGACTGATTTGGTGGATTCTCTGCTCCTCTCTTTCTTCCGTTGTAACATGAAGCTGATGACCCTTTTTACTGCTGCATGCTTTGAAGCCTCTGCCAAAGTCATTTGGACTGTCGACCTTCCCTTGTCCATTCCTGGGCCCAGCAGTGTTAGTCCTCTATTATAGTAATTTTTCACAGCATTTGCTTTCTTATTTGTCCCCCCAGTAAATTGTGCACCCATGGGCGAGTGCATCTCTGTCTTGTTCACATTTGCAACATCCATATTATAGCATAGCTAATACTCAATTAAATCCTTAGCCCATGAGGAATCAGTCACCCCAGCCATCAGACTTGGACTCAATCCATTGCTAACTTTCTTCACATGATGTAGAAGATGATACTGTAACTCGAAGAGCCACATTTATCTAATCCTAGAAATTTACCTGCTGCATGACTCCAGGTGATTAGGAGCCTCCCAAGAATAAGGCAGGCAGAACAGGATGGTTTAGGTGTGGTTATCACACTATTAATCAGATTTTCCTCTTTGTATATTTTATGCATTGGAAAATGACAGGAATATAGTAAATCAACATGGAGGATCCCAGGAGGTGAAGTGCATCAGTTTTCAAGGTTTATGGGCTTTAGGCACATTGTGATATGTGCTCATATCCTTCATATTCATTCCAAAGATATGTGCTCATTTCCTTCATATTCATTCCATCTAGCCTAATAGGGTATTTGCCCTTTAGAAATGTAATTACATGGAGACTAATTAGTGGGATATTTCAGTTATTCAGGTGACAGAAAAGATAAAAAGGGCTCTGACAGAGCCATAAAGATGAACCTTGAGGGGCAGAGCAAAGAGCCTTAGAGAAAGGAATCCTTGGGCTTTAGAGACTTTACAAAACATGGAATTGTGAAGATAAGTGAAGAATTAAGAGTCATAATCTGCAGCTAGAGTGAATGATGAGATTAATGACGAAGGAGATTTTTTTTTCTTCTATTTCTTTCGTTTCATGTATCTGTCACTTTTTAGGTAGGAGATATTGGTTTCAATTTTTAGATGTGTTGGTTTTGAAATTCCAGTGAACCTCTAGATTAATGTGACTCAGTCAGCTTGTTGAAAACAGATCCGGATGACAGGAGAGATCATTACTTCAGAACTGAGAGCAGTCAGCACATACATGAGCCACATTATGATGTCATGCAGAGACTTCTTTTAGCCATTGAAGAGGCAAAGAGAAAATCCTATGAAGCACCAACTCCTTTAAAAGGAGTTGCTTTCAAGAGGTGCTTTCAAGAGGTCTCAAGAATGGAAGAGAACTAGGAGAGACTGGTCTCCCAGAAACCAACAGAGTTTCAGTAATTCAGTAATCTCAATATGCAATGGTTAAGTGGGTAGTTCCCGTATGTGCACTATTTTGAGGATTTGTTAATTAGTAAAAATGTGATAGGACGTTTTAGGAGAATTAATGGAAACACAACCTGAACGGGATTTAGAGGTAAATGGGACCTGATACATTAGACATACTATGCTCCATAGATCATTCTTAAAGAAAATCTGACTTTTAAGAGAAGAACAAAATAATAAGCCATAGTGATAGATGAATATGGGAATGAATAAAGGTTGTTAGGAGTATTTTCTTCCCTTGAATCTCAGAGGCACATGTACATTTTTGTAGTCTTAAGGCAAAGAAAAATGTATGGAAAAAGAGATGGAAGATATTGGCCAAATAGAGGCTAATTGAAGGATTTTAATTTCTAAAGTAGTTAGAAAAAAAATAGAATTAAATATCTAGATGTCATTTCTCTTCTGGTGGCCTTAGTTTCCTATCAAAGAAGAAGCATCTCTTTATCTGAATTTGAAAGGAAAGCAATAAAGACAGTTAGGGTTGTAGTTTCAGAAACTAGATAATGTATATGAGGTTAGTTTACAGGAAAGCATTTTAACAATAAATATTGTTATAAAAATATTTCTTTTTGAAAAATATGCTGTTTCTCTTTATCAATTTTACCCACTTTTAAATACTACTGTTTTCCACAAATCCTTGACTACTGCAAAAATCTTGTTTTTTCTTATTTCCAGCGACAGCAAAGTGAAATTGACAGCACAGCATATTAATTTCATAATCAAACTAATTGTTGCTCAAAAATTTTATAGAAATGTACATTTATGTATATATGAAAGTGATCGTAATGTGTTTGGGAATTCTTTAACCTATTCAAATGAAGTTTTAGCAAGTATTAGAAACAATGAGATTATCATGTGTTGATGACACCAGTGAGCATTCTTCAATTTTAAATATTTTCTCAAGATGCATATTAAATAATAAGTTGAGTATTTTTAAATGCTCAACCAAATGGTACATTTTTGTCAGTAGGCTTCTCTTTTCTCTGACCACCATTTTACCAGTCTTTTAAAGGCCTCAGCAGCTGCTGAGTTGAATTTGCAATTTGAAGTGATAACTGCAGTACTCAGACTCAATAGATGTGTGGAATGTCTGTAAGATACTTACTGATTACAAGACAATGAGGATAGGCCAAAAGGCCCTCTGTGAGAGCTTTTTGAACTTAGTTCAGTTCCCTGACAGGTTATTTTCATAGACATGATGGGAATCGATTTTCATTTAGGTCATGAGTACGGGGTCTGGAATGACTGGAATATTACATAAAGCCACTACCTAAGGAGGCTCCCAGAAAGACCCTAGAGTCTTAGGTTCTGCAGATAAAGTGTTTTTTATTTTTTCTTTTCAGAACACTTAACTGAAATTTGCACAGTGTTCTGAAATTCAAACTTATATGACCAAATTCAGATAGCAAAGAAATAGCCACACGGATAGCCTGCAATCTTTTTTCTTTGTTCCTTTATAGCATCTGATTAAATTCTGACTTTACTTTTGCTATAGACCCGGACTACCTTTTGCTTCTTGGGCAGTCATGGACTGATATTTCCCAAGCAACATGACTAGTGGGAGGCATCTCATACTTCCATGAAAACACATATCACCGTCTTAGACAAGTTTCCTTTCTGAAGTGATGAGAAAATGTGTAAGCTATAAGAAGAAATCCAGGTGCTTAGTTATTCTAGTGGGAGAGAAAAGACAGCTTAAAAAGGGGTTCAGTGGTGGTAAAAGGCTTTTTGAAAGTACTTCTTAATACTTTCTAATGCAGTATAAATATAACTGATGCCTATCTAGTATTTTCTCTCTGGAGGAATCATTTTCTTCTTTTTAGAATTTATTTTTATGCTACCAGGTTAGCATTTTTATTGCATTATTAACATCTTTATTTGGGGAATATAAAATAAAATTTGTAGTTTTCTATATGTAATACAGTCTTGTCTCCAAATTTCTGTTTTCCTCATGCAGAGGGTTACTTCTACAGGAGAACAGCAGGTTTGCAGAAGCACTACATTATTATAAGTTGGCCATAGGGAGCAGGCCTACCCTAGCTTGTAAGTAATACTCACTTTTTTTTTTTTAAAGTTTCTCTTTTCATTCATGAAAATTATCTCTGTGATTTGCAGCCTCACAGAGAAAACACTCGGAGCTCCTATTTCTGAATACTGGCAATTAAGTTTTAAACCTTAAAGAATTATATCTCTTTCAATTTCCTTATATTTTGATGTTCATTAATCATTAAGCAATACAATAGCTATAACTTTTACTCAACTGTATTTTAGGCTCTAATATATTTGGAGTTCCTTAAGGACAAACTATTTTATACATTTTGAAGTGATATCTTCAATTTCCACTGCTATTATGGATCCTATGATTATTTGTTCCATAAGTATGCTTCTTTTTTTGTTATTAATGTTGTTCTCTTTCTAACTTTATGTTTTTATTTCTTTTTAAAATAAAGACGAGTCCTTGCTTTGCTTCCCAGGCTAGTCTTGGACTTATGGCCTCAAGCAATCTTCTTGTGTTGGCCTTCCAAAGTGCTAGGATTGCAGACATGAGCCACTATGACCAGCCATTTTTTTCTTTTTAATGAAAAATAATCCATAAAAGTGAAACTGAAGCAAAGTTTATTTTATCTATAGTATATATTGTCTTCTCACACTTCTTTTTCTACTTTTTTCCCTCAGCTGCATATTTAAACACCGGTATTATCCTAATGAACCAAGGAAAGACAGAAGAAGCTCGACGTACCTTCTTAAAGTGTTCTGAGATCCCAGATGAAAACCTAAAGGACCCTCATGCACACAAGAGCTCTGTTACCAGTTGTCTGTACAACCTGGGAAAACTCTATCATGAGCAGGGACACTATGAGGTCTGGCCAGTACCTCTCTGTCCTTTTCCTTCCTCCTTATTTTGATCTAGTCCCAATGTTTTCTAACCTACCATCACTTTGCCAGGACCACTGTCCTTTAGAAAAAGAATATGTGGCCGGGCTCGGTGGCTCAGCCTGTAATCCCGCGCCTTTGGGAGGCTGAGGTGAGTGGATTGCCTGAGCCCGCGGGTTCGAGACCCGCCTGGGCAGCGAGACCTCATCTCTACAATAAACCAAAAAATCAGCTGGGCGTGGTAGTGCATGCCTGTAGTTCCGGCTACTCGGAAGGCTGAGGTGGAAGGATCGCCAGAGCCCAGCAGGTCGAGGCTGCAGTGACCGGGAGTGGCCACTGCACTCCAGTCTGGGTGACAGAGTGAGACTCCAACTCAAAAAAAAAAAAAAAAAAAAGAATATGTGTACACATCGTTTGACTGTCCTTTGATAAACTAATGTGTTCACATTAAAAGGGCTTTGTGATCAAATTTGTTTGGAAAAAGCTTCTTCTGAATAAAAATTTAATAGATTTTTTCCTGTTTCTCAGAGCAATTATAGTATGTCAATATGTATTGTTACTATTTAAGAATGGGAAATAACATGCAATGCTTCTCAAGATTATTTGCTCACCATTTCTTTGATTTGATGATCAAGACATGGTTTCTAGAATTGTTACCCTATACCCAGTGTTTGATATTTTCAAAAAATATATTAATTTTACTCTGATTATTAAGAAAGTGATTTGATATAAATCCTACCTGTTTCTCTTAATTCTTTTTAAAACTATAATGGAATAAAATCTAATTTTATTATTTTTGAATGGAGGGGAAAGGAAAAGTGTATAACAAGATGTTGTACAATAAGTTAGGAGGTGATCCAGCTGTGCCCCCCCATGGGATACATGCTACACATATATTCCCAATTGCCCCTGTCTTTCCCTCCTTCTACCTGCCTCCCGTTGTACACACATACTCCTATACAATGTATTAAGACTAATGCAAGGATGTAGATACAACTTTTAAAATAATTGCATTTAATAGCTTCAGTGAGTCTCAGTATCTGGAAGATTTGTTAGCTAATATTTTATTAGATCCCACCAGGTTTTCTGACTTAAAATAATGATGGACTTTAGATGACTAATAGAGAACTTCCAAATGTGATTTTCTTTTTTAGTGTTATTTAAAAGTTTAATAATCTGTGTGAACTGGAAAATTTATATTAAAAGAACCTTGCTAACATTCCCCTCCTTGTTAAACCATTTCATTCTTAACTGACGGGGCTGGGTATTTTCATTCGTGAAATTGTGATAGTACCCTACCAAAGGACAGCTCAATTATTTTCCTCTACTGAACTATTTAGAAATAGCAGTGGATGGTTTTAGCTTTGGAAGAATGTTATTACCGTATTTTCAGTGAATATCCCTGTACTTTAGCAATGATTTATCTCTTTCTCTTTCTCGCTCTCTCTTTTTATAAATTAGGAAGCCCTTAGTGTATACAAGGAAGCTATTCAGAAAATGCCAAGGCAGTTTGCCCCACAGAGCTTGTACAACATGATGGGTAAGTAAAACATTAATATTTTAAAATTGATATATCAGGGACCTGCAGATAAATTAACACTGATGCTTGTGTTAAATGGAATTCTAACAAATCATATTAATCCTCACAAAGAAACTTTGTTCACAGTTGGGTGTCATATTCCAATTCTGACAGGGCACATTTGGTCTGACATGAACAAATAAATGCGTTAACATAGCAGTTCCTCTCATTCTTCATTAGTGGGATTATAAACTTGTTCAACTTCTATGAGAAACAATATGGGGATTTCTCAAAGAACTAAAAATCAAACCATTCAAACCCAGCAGTCCCACTACTAGGGATCTATCGAAAGGAAAATGAAAAAGAAACGATACCTGTTTTCATATGTTCATTACAGCACTGTTCACAATAGCAAAATCATGGAAACAAACCAAGTACCCTCTAACAATTGACCAGATAAAGAAACGTGGATTATATACACCATGGAATACTATGCAGTCATTGAAAGAATGAAATCATGCCCTTTGTAGCAACATGGATAGAGCTGGAAATCATCAACCTAGATGAACTAACTCAGAAACAGAAAACCAAACCCTGCATGTTCTTACTTATATGCGAAAACTAAATGACCACAAAGATGGAAAGACACTGGGGTCACCAAGGAGGGGGACAAGAAGGAAGGTTATGGTTCAAAAATTACTCATTGGGTTCAGTTTTCGCTGTCTAGGGAATGGGCCATCGAGACTCACTCCTCACCACTACACAATATATCCATATAACAAACATATACTTGTATCCCTGCTTCTAAGAGAGAAAAGAAGACAACACAACAACAACATAGTGATTCCCAACACATTGGTCACAGCCCAGAATTGTTGCAAGGGCCTGTCAAGCCCATCTGGCTCCTGAGTACTAGCTAGAATCTAGAGATTGTAAAACTAATCTTGCATCTGTGTGTAATCTTTCAAGTATGTTCAGAGATGAATAAAATACACATTAATGTCAGTGAATTTATCGAATTCTTGATTGTTTTTGATCGTTACTTTCTTAAACTAGAGGATTTTCCAAAGTAAGCATCTTATGATGTAGAGATTCATGAACATTGATGCTTATAAAAGATGAGATAAGTAAGCCAACTTGTATGGTTTTCATTGATCAGGATGTTGATCACACTATGTCTTTTTAGAGTAATTTAGAATTAAAACAAGACTGTGCAGACTGTAAATGTGCTACTAGAATTATTTCTTTTTTCTATGTTGAATAAGTAAATTAATTTTACTATTTGTCAGAAAGTATGTAAATATATGGAATGGATTTTTCTAGTTATAAGAACTCAAAGAACTAGAAATTCTAATAAAATATCTGCCTATCACATGTTATTGATCCCTGCCTTCCTTGTAGTAAATTGTTACTGCAGCTGTTTGATGATAGATGCAGCTGAAAACCACATATTCAGCCTAAGACTCTTGGAAACAAATCCCTAAAGTTTAACATGCTCTGCTAATTGATTAATGTTATTTTTGAGATGAGAAAGAGAAGCATTTACTTTTGTCCTTAAATCAAATATTTTTTTTCTCTAAAGTGCAAATTTCAAACTCCAATTTTCCCTTTTCATTAAACCTGATTTTTTAAAATATTTCTAGGCCTCTCTCATACAGATAAAATAAGTAAGATTAGACTACATCATGTCCAGGATTATTTTATGTTTCTACTTTCTATGATTTGAAATTTGATAACAGCTTTATGGCCTGAGTGCACACACAAAAAACCCCAAACCCCCTGCAACTAGAAAATATACACCTGGCAAAAACACTCATGTTATCGTCCTTTCAAATAACAGCAAATTTAGAAATAGTTTAGAGACAGAATGGGCACAGATCAGTAAACAAAAAATGTGTATATTTTGAAAGAAGTTAAAATGTTTATTTCATGATATTGACATGAAAAACAAACCCCTCCCCCCCGTTTGTCTGGGCAACAGTAGACTGATTCAATGCTTATATTAGAGAGTCCACTGGAATGTTTTTTAGTTTTTTCTTTCTTTTTTTCTCTTTGGTATAATTACTAAAAGCTAAAATCTACCTTCATTAAATGTACTTTTGACCTTAAAATTTATTTAATATGATTTAAAACAATGTCTTCTACCATCCACCAATTTACCATCAATCTATTTATGCACAAGAAATGTACATGTTAATAAAATATTGCTTGGAGTGTGTAAGTTTATCAGTTGAATTAACTTTTTTATTTTCATGCTAGATGTTTTTAGGACAAAATAAATACTGAAAGAATTGCTTTCCCTAGCTTTGTCTGAAGACGCACGTTGTTTTAGTTTGTGATTTTATTCTCAACTCCAGGGCCTGTGCAGACTTATTCCCAATTTTCCTCAGTTATCAAGCAAGACATCTTTCTTTAAATTAGGATAGGGCTCTGAGGTCCTTGGTGACAGACTGCATGCATTATCTTTATTGTTGATGGAAAGTGGTGGTGTTCACTATAATTAGTTATTTCAGAAAATTCATTCAATTATTTTATGTAAATAAATTTGAAATTTCACTTGGTGTCTTGCGATGTGTCCCTCATATGGTTACACAGATGCTGAGCACGCACAGGCAGTAAAAGATAAGTGTGTCCCTGGAGCTATTGCTTACTCCTTTGTCTTCTTTTTCCATTATAGAAGATGGTAGCATTGCCCAGCCTGGAAAGCACCCTAACAATTTTCAAAGGGAGGATCCTAGTATAATTGTAAATTCCAGATTTCTTCTATAATTATGGTTGATGCCTTCTGTTTAATTTTATGTGAAGGTCTGTCAGCTGATCAGGTTTTGTGGTTTCAGTTGTTCAGGAAACTGTAATTTTCTCAGAGAGTGAGTTCATCTTCTAATCAAATGGGTTAAATCCCCCTAGTGTTTGCTTTATCTCCTGATACATTTTGATTAGCCTCCATTTGACAAGAAAAAAAAATGGCCCAGAAGATAAGCTGCCCTATCAGTTCATTGGTTTCATTAGTCTGTCAGCATGTGCTGATTATCCTATCAAGTTTATCAACAACCTTGAATGTGTTTTCTAATTCACACATTTACATATTCTCAGTGCCCTTTAGGGATCAGTGATGGATTATAATGTCTGGTTAGATTTTGCCTGTATTCATTTTTCTCATGTCTCATTTATTTACCCCTTCACAACCACTACCCCAAGCACTTGTGTGTAGATATACAAACATTATATTTTTTACCATTCTATTTTTTATTTGAAAGTTAGGAGAAATAAAGGAGTATGTATGAAAAAATACAACTATATTGGAGTGCCATTATTAGCTTAATAACTAAGTTCACTGCAGTTGCTTTAAAAATAAACAAAAAAAACTCTAGTTCTTTGCATATTCCTTCCTCTTGAACATTAAGAAAAAACATATTTCATGACTGCTGCATGACAGTTGACTTACCCTGAATACCAAATGAATATGTTTCTCCCACTTGTATATTAATGACAACAAGTTTTATTCATTTGCTTCCCAATTTTAATTTTCTAGATTTCATTTTAAGACGATTCCTTTAATTTTAGTGAGGCAGTTCGTAAATAAATTTAAAAAATAGTTTTAATATATTCACATTATTCTCTTTGATGTCATAGGACTAAGGTGTGTTGGTAATGTATTCCTAATCAAAGACAGTATTATTATCTAATTGAAATACTAATCAAATACTAATGTTTGTGTAACACTAATTAGAATAACATTAATACTAAAGCTTTCTCCTCATCTGGAATTAGGTGAGTTAACAAACATAAAGAGCAAACTCAAAAAACATATAAATCTTATTTTTTAAACAAAAATTAACCTTTCACCTAGCTTCTTATATTTAGGAAGATGTGAAAATACATGAAATTATTTAGCTTCTTATATTTAGGAAGATGTGAAAATACATGAAATTAAAAGACCAAATCACTAAGTGTTTAAATTTTTCCTAGCCAGTTATGTGACTTTAATTTTATGGGCCATGGTTCTTCTTGAAAGAACAGGTTGAATTAAATAGAGGTTTAGTTTAGTGTGGTTGCTGAAGTCACATAACCTGGGTTCAGGTTACAGCTTTGACACTTGCTAGCTGAGCATCCTAGGGCAGATAACTCAACAGATGCCTCAGTTTCCCCATTTATAAGATTTCTTGTAGTAGTAGTGTCTGTTTGAGGACTGATTAAAATGATGAAGGTAAAGCATATTGGTCCAAATGCCTAACCTGGTAAGTTTATAACATGACCTTCCATTGTAATCATCATCATTTCTGTGGGCTTTTAAATTCCAAATGTTGATTTTATTCTCTGTTGGTTATTTTTGAATTTTGCTATGTAAATATTATTACTCTATAGATAAGATTTTGTCATAGTGATGGCCTTGACATCACCGAAACTCAGTAGGGATTCTATTTAGTTCTATCCTGCCTGGAATTCCTGCTATATTTTCACTCTAGGCTCATTTCCCATTTTTGTTCAGCAACTACTGTCAAAATTTTTCTTTTACTATATTAACCAAAAGTGAAATGGTATATTATATTAATGGCAATTAACTTAGTTTCATTAATAGAGTGCACCTTCCAAATTTTAAAAAATGGTCATATTTGGGTTGATTTTCTTCTCCTCTTCTTTCGATTTTGTATTTTTCCTCTAGACTTAGTCAAAATTATTCTTTATTTTGACATTCAAGGGCATTTAGTGAATCTCAGTTTCTGCTCTTCTCAAATTAGAGACGTAGCCGGGCTGGGTGGCTCAGCCTGTCATCCCACGCCTTTGGGAGGCTGAGGTGAATGGATTGCCTGAGCCTGCGGGTTCGAGACCCGCCTGGGCAGCGAGACCGCATCTCTACAATAAATCAAAAAATCAGCCGGGCGTGGTAGCGCAGGCCTGTAATTCCGGCTACTTAGAAGGCTGAGGCGGAAGGCTCGCCGGAGCCCAGCAAGTAGAGGCTGCGGTGGCTAGGAGCGGCCACTGCACTCCAGTCTGGGCGACAGATTGCGACTCCAACTAAA